ACTTCTTCTCCATAAAAACCAAAATGAAGAAGAAAGGGGGGGGGTAGCCCGAAGGCCTGACTGAGGTAAAGCGGCAACCTCCCCCTCAGCAAAAAATAAAAAGGTTTTTAAAAAGTTTTTTTGAAAGAACAACGAAGAAAAGGAATAAACTGAGGGGGAAATCCAAAGAGCCGTGAGGCAAAAAGCCAAAACACGCGAACCGATCAGACCGACGAAGAAAAAGGTCTTTTCGACGCGGCGGTAAGAAAGGAACTGGCGGGATGTCTGCGCCCTCCCCTCTGGGCATGCGTGGTGGGGTTCCTGCACATGCCAGAGGTCTGGGCGCGAAAATCTGTTAAAAGAGCTTGCTACAATGCTGATCAATCCAGCGCGTGCGCACTAGATCCCATGAGTGTGAAACACAGAGACCACATCGAAGATCAAACTATTAATGGTTAGCATAAGCAAAGGACTGAAGTGAGCACTGGTACATGAAGCACATGTATAAAACAGAGAAGAGATGAGAAGCCAGAGTTTTAAAGACCAAATCATCCAGATAAATCTGAGCAACACCCTGCTTGTGGAATTTCAAGGCAGAAAGGAAGAGACCCACACCGCAGCTTCGTTCCTGCTTGCCAATCGCTTCCAAGAGAGAAAAAGAGGTGGCGCATGGAGGAAAAGTGAATGTGCGAAAAGAACCAGCCAAGTTGCTATGGAAGGCACCCTTAAAGCCGCTGAGTGAAACAGATGGGAGAGATGTGCAGACACACACAGACACAAAGGCACAGGTTCTGGTTTTTCCAGCAGTGGTGCGTGGCATTGATGGAGGTAGAGCAGCAGCTTAAAATGAGAAGTACCTTTCGAATCATAGCCCAGCTTCAGCAATACCACGTGAAAGAGCTGCACTAAGAAGGATGTGACAGACGCTGCAGAATACTTGGCCGCTTCCAGAATCTTACTCGTGTAGAAAGTGAGGCCCCCTATTAAAAAAAGCATTAGTATCAAACGTCATTTTCCTTCCAGTGTTCCAGGCAAGAAGCCAATTTTATGCTTTACACTAGTGGCCTTCAACCTTTCTGGACCCAAGAACCGCCCTTTCGGCCCCTGGCAAGCGCATGACAGAGCGTTCACACGACATCAGTCACACGACATCAGAGTCACATTACAGAGAGAGGCAGAGCCCTGCCTTAGATGAAAAGGAATCCTCTCCAGGTATACTCATTGTAGCATCCTGTTGCTTTCCTCAGTGTGGGGACAAACGGAGGAAGAAGGTGGGGCGCCCTTATGCAGCAGTACTGGCAGATCCCTCCCCAAAAAACCCCAAACAAGCATTCTCTATAGGGACCTGTGATCCAGCAGGTGTGGTTCAGGGGAGAGTCTGGATCGTTGGGTGAAAAAGAGCACTGCTATGTAGTCCAAGAGAGGGAATTGCTCCATTCTATCAAGCGGCTGAAACAAACCACCACTGGTCCTGCCCAGGTCCCAATTGCAGAACCGAGTTTTGCTGGAAAACAGCTTCCTAGATGCTAATTGAAAGGCTCAAGCACCTGTGGGGCCAAAAGGGCTTTCTGCCAGCAACCTCTCCCTTCCGCGTTCAAATCATATTACAAATGCACATCTGTCTACGTCCTCCTCTTCCTCTGCTGGAGTCCCAGTTTGTTTGTTTTTTTCTTGACCCCTTTAAAGTGTTGACAAGACAAGCAGAAGGCAAAGCGGCTTGGAAGAGGGTCCGTGAAGGCGAAAAAATGTTTAGTTGTGAAACGGCTCTCATGGGGTCTGCCATCAACCGAAAGAAACCTCAATGAAGGGGAAGGATGGAACTAAAAAATATGGCAGACATACCGGGTATATCGCTGGACAAAAACAGTTCTCCTGGAAAAGTACTTCGGAAGGTTATGCGCTTACAAGCAGGGAACCAAAGTTTCTTTTGTTATATATTAAAAAAAAGCTCAATTACTGCTGTGTGCCCAGTTACATTATATATCTAAGTTAAAAAGAGTAAAAATTCTCCTAGTAGTTCCCTTTGGAGTAACTCTGATGCACCCTTTGCTTCAAATGCCTGCTTATGTAGCTTATATAAAGCAAACTGGTTCTGCCGAACTTCTTTGAAAAGATAAAGGGTCTGCGGTCTTCCTGAGAACAGCCACAGGCAATCAATGACAGAAGCAGGCAAAGTCTTCTAAATCCAGAAAGAAGCAACTAATCTTCACACTTCCTTTTCAAGAATTGTAATTCCTAAGGAGTAGCTTCTGTCTCCTCCAGTGCACAGGAACGCCTTCAGCGCAGAAACAGTCACAGAACAAAATGCACAGGAACACTGTGAAGTCTCCGTTCTCCAGCCTTGTGGACTACGCTCCTGAACCAAATCAATCCCACAAGTTTCTGTCAGTGTCTCTTACAGGTGATCCAGCACTAAGAACATTCCGATCTCCGTTTTAAAACAACAGTGACTTTGCAGACCAATGGCATTCACATGGAGTTCCGTAGCACCAGCCACCCCCAACAGAACGGTCCCATACTTACCGGACTTGTGTTTTTGGCTTCGATCCCTGGAGTAAATTCTCGTGGGTGGCATGTGAGCAGTCGAGAAGGCAGTGAGGACTTCCTTCCGCTCAGAAAGTATGCTGCAGTCATTGCCGGTGTAGCCATTGCTTAGCGCCGTTTGGCTCTCAGCAGTTGCTACGTCCCCATTGGCCTGAATCACTGTTGTATGTCCACCTGTTGAGTTGCAAGTGACTGAAACGTTACCATGTAGGTCAATGAACTGAGGGGGCCATAAAACACACAAACACACTGCCCAAGTTACCTTTGAGATCCCCGTCATCATCGAGACCTGAAAGAGAATACAAATGAATACAAAATAAACACAACGCTAAGTTATCACCAGCTGAGTTTCTGAAAAGAAACCTACTTGTTCAATCACAAACAGAAAGCATATTGGAAAACTTGTTACTGCACACAGACAAACTTTAATACGAAGAACAGTCCTTTTATGCTGTCTACTACTACCTGGTTTGCCATTGCTTGCCTCTGCGGAGGAGAGTTTTAAGGCTACCGGGGACCGCCATAAAGACAAACAAGTGGGTTTGAGATCGAATCAAGCCTGAACTCTCCCTAGAAGCCAAAATGACTAAACTGCAACTATCGGACTTTGGTCACATTATGAGAAGACAAGAGATACTGGAAAAGACAACAATGCTAGGGAAAGTCGAAGGACAAGAGGAAGACCCAACAGGAGATGGATTGACTCGAAAAAGGAAGTCATGGCCCTCAGTTTGCAAGACCTGAGCTAGGCGACTAACGACAAGACATTTTGGAGAACGTTAATTCACAGGGTCGCCATGGGTTGGAAGAGACTTGACGGCAATGAACACAAACACACTACTTGGAAATGTAAAGCAATACAAAAACCCCTCTCCTATATAACTGCCAAGGGGAGACTAGATAAGTGAACAAGCTCTTCATTTCTGTTGCTTGGTTAGTAGTTACCCCCTTTAAATGCTCAGTGAAAACTTAAACATGACTTTCTTCACTCTGAGGGGAGGAGAGTCCTATAACTAGGCTAGTAAGTAGCAAAACCACTTAAAACTATGACTTTGGCAGGGTCCGATCCTCCACTCCCTTCTCATGGAATAAGTGGCCAGATTGTCAGACCTGAACCAGAGAGGATTGTTTAGCAAGGACAAGACTTCCCCCACCCCCAACACCTCACACTCTTTGGGTTCCATAACTCCACAGATGCTCTCCCTCCCCAAAAGCTCTTCCAGATAGCAAAGACACGATTCCAGACACAGCCAAAGCTTCAGTGATGCCCACCCATTCTTACGTCTGCCTCCATGAGAGGAAACAAGCAACTTTGGAACAATCTTCTCTGCCTGTCTGCTCCCCCTTCTCTAATTTCTCAGGCACCTGGCCACGTTATTTTAAACAGTTACTTTCCTAGTATTTTATATCATGGTGTGTCACATGCTGAGGAACTGGACTGTGATATATAATCTCTCTAATCTTTCTCTCTCTTTTTTGGAAAACATCTGCACGACTGAGAACAGGAGACAAAGCGGCCAGGAATGGCAAAGTCCTATTGAGTTTTGCAATGGGACTAGTGACATGTCTAGTATACAACTCAAGGAGAAAGGCTGTGGCTCAGCAGAATAGCCTCTGCTTGGCATGCGGAAGGTCCCAGGTTCAATCCCCGGTGTCTCCAGTTAAAAGGACCGGGTAGTAGGTGATGTGAAAGACCTCTGCCTGAGACCTTTGGAGAGCTGCTACCAGTCTAGGGTTGCCAAGTCCCACGGGGGGCGGGGGGGAAATTCCCACCCAAGAGGCCCGTTCCCTGCCGGCAGGGATTGGGCCGCTGGGGGGGACCCCACCCCCAAAGCGCGCGACGTGCCCAGCGTGAACACGTCACCCAGAGGTGACATAATCCCGTCGGGCACATTGTGGAGGGACGCTCTATCATCCAAGGGAAAACTATGGTTTTCCCTCAGATTATTGTGGCCCCGCCCCAAATGTGACCACGTCACTTCCGGGTGACACAATTGCGGTGCGCGTGCAAAGAGCGCGTGCCAGGAGACTCCAGAAGACGTCCGGGACTCCCCCCACTATTCTCATGGTAGGACTGGGCAACCCTATACCAGCCTGAGTAGCCTGTACTGACCTTGAAGGACCAAGGATCTGATTCAGTATAAGGCAATTTCATGTGTGTTCAGCTACAACCCATATTCAGTTTAAAACTGGGAACCCTCCAGGAAGTGAACCAAAGCTTTTTGCAAGCCCCACCTACAGCCATTACTGTCGGGAAGAGTTTAAACTCAGGGCCATGCAGAGACCGCTAGAAAAGGTCTGGGGGTCAATTCCAGTGATCTGCCCTTGGACAAAAGAGGGTTCGAAACTGTTTTTTGATGGCTCTGGATGATTTCTCCACAGTACTGCTGAGGAACTGGGGGGGCCCCTGCAATTTGGAGGGTACGTGGGTGTGAGATAGACATGACTGCTCCTAAGTGCATGAGATCCCCGCCAGTAAGAGGCCTACCCCCCACTTCTCTGAAGAATTGGGGTAAATGAAGCGGCGAGCTGAGCAACGGCAGGGGACAACTTGAACCGCATCCGACAGAGCCCGAACTAGAGCCTGTCGCAGATCCGACTCTGGGGTTTGTGGTGGAGGCGGCAAAGGCACTCTTCCTCTGTCACTGTGGCTGTACAGCTCTTATCAGAACTACGGCTTGCCCAAGGTCATCCAACTAGGTGCAAGTGGAGGAGTGGGGAATCAAACCCGGCTCTCCCAGATTAGAGTCTGCGCACTTAACCACTACACCGGACTGGCTCTCACATCAAAAGCTTCTGAACTCCAGGCCTTTCTGGAGGAGTGAGCATTTAAATATGCATTCATTTTGGAAGGCCTTCAAATAGGATATGCCCTGATTTTTATTCTGTAAGCTGCAAGGATCTGCGTGGGCATGTATTTTAAAGGACTGCATTGTACTTTGGTCATATGAACATATGAAGCAGCCTTATAATGAATCAGTCCATCATGGTCAGTATTGCCTACTCAGCCCAGCAGCAGCTCTCCAGGGTCTCAAAGCTGGTCTTTCACAGCATCTGCTACCTGATCTTTTTAACTGCACGTACTGGGGTGGGACATTCTGTATACTGAGCAGTTGCTCTACTGCTCAGCCAGGGCCCCTTCCAAAAACGTACTTTGCGTTTTAATTCTAAATGGCCTTGAGTCTGGTTTTTCCACACAGTGGGACTACATACAGAAGTATTTTAAGCAAGTAAATAAATTGGGGGGGGGGGGGAGCAAATGACTGTGTTGTGCCGTTCCTATTTCAAAGGGGCTTACAGAAGAGCAGTTCCTGCTAATTCTATTTGTATTGGCTGAATGCATCAAACAGAATCATATTTCAAAGCACGAAATATTTTAGTATGCCAAACACAAATATTTTTTTTCTTTTTGGTACTTAATCTAGACCTTTGGGGCAGCAGGGCTAGCAGCCATTTCTTGCATCTTTCTGAAATCACAATCCAGCTGGCTGCTATACAGTGTTTTACAGAGGCCATCTTACTGATATTCAAAAGGTCATTTTGCTGGAATAGTTTTTTGACATTTAAAAAGTGGAAGATTTCTCAGAGGTGGCAACGGAAGGTGGGCTTCCACCCTCTAGGGACCAGAGCTACATTTGAAAGTATACTTTCGATATTATTTCCCTTGTCAGTCAAGGACCCACAAATCCTCGCTTATTAGTTGCTTTTGAACCATGTTTTTAAGAGATTTCAGACATCTTGACATCAGTGTTCCCTCTAAGCTGAGTTAGTGTGAGCTAGCTCACAGTTTTTTAGCCTCCAGCTCACACATTTTTGTCTTAGCGATGGCTCCAGAACAAACTAAGTTATGCAGTAGCCAAATTGCTCACTCACAACTTGAATGCCAGTAGCTCACAAAGTAGAATTTTTGCTCACAAGACTCCACAGCTTAGAGGGAGCATTGCTTGGCATGTATGCACCACTATGACATACTGCTGCAACAATCAACATTGCTGCAAGGTGGTGGGCAGTAAGGTACACTGCATGAGAGCCATTTAAGATTCTTAAATTCAACACACTAGCCATTCATGCTAGTAAAAGTCCTGCACAGTTACTCTTCAGATCCTTAGATAAGTCTTGCAAAGGGCAAATAAGGGGCTTCTAAACTAGGGGGGCAAACATCATATTTCTTAAACAAGGCCTTATCGTCCCTTCCCAATCTGGCACTGAAATCCCATTTTGGATCAAAGAAACTGAACTTAAAGTCGGCTATTATGGTTTTTCTAAACAGTTTTTACTGAGTATGGAGTACAATCTTGTTAAACCCTTTCTTAAACAAAGAGTCCTGGACACTGAAAGACAGCATGAATTGAACCAGGTAAAACGTTATCTACCAGGAACAGAGGATTTAAATAAAATAATATTAATGCCATACTTGCAAAAGTTGGACAAAACTGACTATAGGAGAGCATTTGTCCTCCTTAGAATGGATAAGTTACCATCAACAATTATGGAGGATCGGTTTAAAAGACAACCATATGAGGAAAGATTGTGCAGCTGTGGGGATGGAAAGCCGGAATCTGGGGGAAACGTTTTATTTGAGTGTAAACTTTACCAAAATATTAGAGACGCCTCTATAACGCCTATTTGTAATTATTTCCCAGGGAGGAATATCAGATTTTACCTAGACAAGCTCTTAGCTGATAGAGACCAAAAGATTACCCTAAATGTGGCAAAATTTGCTAGACTAACTATAAGACTCCGGAAGCAATTTGCACTGGGAAGCATCTAATCAGCTTATTGCTAGAACTCAGTCCTCATTTTTATTTTATATGTCTCAATCTGAATGTATATTTTACCCCCATTGTGTATGTTATTTGATTGGTCTCTGACCGTATTGTTGTTGTTGTTGACCCGGAATGGCTTTGTACATGTGGTATGCTGGTTAAAGTGTCAGACTAGGACCTGGGAAGCCCAGGTCTGAACCCCTTTTGGCCAGCCATACCTTCCCAGCCTAACCTACCTCGCAGGGTTGTTGTGAGGATGAAATGGAGGAGATGAACACTATGTAAGCTGTTTTAGGTCCCCGCTGGGAAGAAAGGCAGGATATAAATAAAAGTCAATCAATAAATAAAACCTTATTCTCAAAATGTACAGTCTGCCTCTAGGGAGTTCCTTGAAGCATGCCCAGATGTGCCTGCCCTGGCTCTTGACAATAGATGCCCATCCCCTATCAAGCTGCTGCTGATATTCCTTTCCACGAACTACAGAGGTTATTTAGCCAACAAACTGCAAAGCCCTCTGGTTCATGCAGAAACAGCAATGCAGTTCCTTTGATCCTCGCCACATCCCCCAGGGGTGCAAGAGCACCTCTTTTGCGCTGCTGAATCAAGCATGGCGCTGCCTCTGACTAGAACCATGATTCACGGAGCTGCAGAACTATCCAAAAATGGCTGGTGTATAGCAATACAATGTTCCTTACCCCAGAAATGCTTAACAGCTGTCTGCTCCTTGATTGAAGACTCATCCAATACGGTAGACAGAAAAGATGCATCACTTGCGTGGCTGCTGAAACTGCTCTGGCTAAAAACGGAAGTGCTGGATGCAGTTTTTCTTGGGCTTTGTCTCACGGGCCCTGATTGTTTGACCACACTTTTACGTTGTCTACTCATTCTTTTAAAAGAAAAAAGAAAGAAAGTCAATGAGTGTACCTTATTAATTAACATTAACAGCTCAGGTGAGGTATCAGTGATGTGAGGGAGGGAGGGAGGAGACAGGCCTGTAGCCAGGATTTTTTTTGTTTGGGGGGTACTTAAATTTCTAAGGGGGCAGTTAAATTACAGTTCATTAAATTAATCTGAGTGCCTGTCTTTAAAGGGGGAGGCTCCGAGCCTGTTTCTAGCCCTTCCTTTCAGGGGACAGGGCAGCGAGCGCATCAGTCCCTAAGAAAAAACAGCTCAGAGGGCATTTAATTGCCTTCTGAAGACATTTAAATGCCTTCTGAGTTCCCTTCCACGGGGCAAGAAAGCTCAGAAGGGCACTGAAGAGTGGCACCTTCAATAGATCCTCAACAGGCTTTCTGCTAGCCCAGTCCTGCTGTAGGGTACCTAGGTCACAGTGAGACTTTCAAAAGCATTCCCATGAGCCTTTGGGAAACTGGCCTAGCAGAAAGGGAGATTGTTGGAAATGTATTGAAGGTGCCACTCTTGAGTGCCCTTCTAAGCTTTCTCGCCCTGTGGAAAGGAACTCAAAAGGCAATTAAATCCCTTCTGAGATGTCTTTTCCCAGATCTTATGATCCCCCCCCTCCCCAGAATTCCAAGGTAGGAAGGAGAGGGAAGCCCAAGAGCAAGCTTTCACCCTGCTGCTGCCAGGTCTATCCTCAAAAATAAGATTTCCAGCATCGCTGTTTGTAGGGGCAGGGATTTTGATTAAGGGGGCGGGCCCCCAAATGCCCCGCTGTAGCTATGAGCCTGGAAGGAGGGCAGTGAAGGCAGCTGGAGCCAAACAATTTCAGTGCGACTCAAAGTTAGTGACAGCTACAAAAGGGAGCACGTTTTCCATTCACCTGCCTGGAACCTTTGCTGCAATTTAAGCATAATAAATGCATGGCTGAGTTCAGACATGAAGAAAAAATGGGCTGCACCCAGTAATGTGCCAACAGAACAAAAAAGGGAAAATGCCAGGTGATATTGGACAGATCTACTATTGTACGAAGTCCCTAGGCGTTCAAGCTTCGTTGGTGGGAATCAAAGCATTCACCTAGTGCTGGAACTGTCCACAGAAATTAAAGGTAAAGGTTCCCTTGCTCGAAAGCCAGTCGAGTCCGACTCTAGGGTTGCGGTGCTCATCTCCGTTTCAAAGCCGAAGAGCCAGCGCTGTCTGAAGACGTTTCCGTGGTCGTGGCCGGAATGACTAAACACCAAGGCGCACGGAACACTGTTACCTTCCCACCGAAGCGGTACCTATTTATCTACTTGCAATTTCTTGCTTTCGAACGGCTAGGTTGGCAGGAGCTGGAACTAGAGACGGGAGCTCACTCCGTCATGCAGCAACTCGGGTCTCGAACTGCTGAACGACTGACCTTCCACAGCCTGCAGTTCAGCGTCTTAACCACTTGAGCCACAGAAATTACATTCTTACAATTAAGTAAAAGAAAGAAATTGCTGAGGACAGTTCCAACACTAGGTGAATGCTCCGATTCCCCCCAAAAAAGCCTGCATGGCGAAACACGTAGGGACTTTGTACAGTAATAAATCAGTCAATTATCACCTGGAATTTTTCTCTTTTTGTTCTGTGAGTTCAGACACCACACCAAAACTGCCATTTACAATAACCACAGTTTAGACCACAAATAATGGCTTGGGTTCTAAAACCATGAGGCCAGGTGTAGATTAGAGCCACTGCCTGTATTCATTTTCTCTCTGCTCAGCACTGCAACAGCCCATGGAGGTAGAACAATGGTCCCAGCTATGATTTGTCCATTGTGACAAATCATAGTTAGCAAATGGCACTTTGAACTTGGGCTGCTGATTCTGGTTACTGGGATGACGGGGTGGCTCGAGTGTGTCAAAAAGGGTCACTTAAGTCCATTCGGTCTCACAGCACGTAGGACCATCGGAACAAAGAGGCGCCTCAATTCTCCGGCATTCCGCCGTCGAAGAGGCCACCTCTTTGAAGTTCCATAGCCAGGGTCCCTTCGCCGGGCCCCTGGGGGGGTTAGCGAGCCTGCGCACCCCCCCTCCTTCGGCTGGAGCGCAGCTTCACCCCCGGGAGGTCCGGGAGGTGAGTCTGCTAACACGCCGCCATAAACCGGAAGCTGACCGGGGCAAGCGCAGGAGATCGAGCATCAGAAATGAAGCTGAAAGCGAGGTCGAAAGACCAACTATGAAAGTGAGTCAGTTTTAAAGCGTTTTGAAAGAAAGAAAGATAGCTCCCCACCCCACCCCACTGAATGGGAAAAAGGCGAGCAGGGGAGGGACGCCTCCCATGCGCATGAACTTTTGAGCGATTGAGGGGGGGAGCAGAAGAAAACGCAAAGGAAACTGCCTAAAAGTACTTACCAAAGTGAATCTAAGCGGTCAAGCGCATATTCAGAGACTTTTTAAAAAAATGCGAAAGTAAACAAACGATAAAGATGGCGGGGAAGAAGGACAGAGAAAAACCTTTGAAAGCGAAAGGGTCTGAGAGCCCGAAACCGGAAGTTACCAGTGAGGTGGCAAAGTCTATAGCGGAATATATGCGCCCTCTGCTGGAACAGCTGAATAACTTCAAGGAACAGATGTCTATAGTGACTCAAAGTATTACTGCACAACAAACCCAGATAAACGATATGCTGCAAATAATGAAGCAAGATACTGAGAAGGTAAAGGAAGTGGCTGCAACTACCCAGAAGGTGAAGAAAAAGTGCACAAGCTGGAAAGGAAACAAACCTCCATGGAAGATCAACTGTTGCAAGTGCAAATTGAAAAGGCCAACATGATTCTTCGCTTCCAGGGCATGCCAGAGAACAGGGGGGAGAATCTTAAAGAAGTGATGACTGAATTACTAGCCCCAGTGACAGAAATGAAGGCGGAATCCTTGCTGAGAGATATGGATGTGGTTTACAGATCATATTCAGGCTATATAAAGAAAAATAATCTGCCTGAAAGCGGTCGTTGGAATACCCCTGAAAGTGGGGGGAAATACCATCAGAACGCTAAAGGATATTCCATTTGAAGTAAGACAACGGTGAAAGAAGTACAAAGAGCTCGTGCTTTTTCTTCAGACAAACTCAATTGGATATAAATGGCTATTTCCAGAAGACGTCACTTTCAAGATCAAAGATAAAGAAAAGATTGACTCTGTTCTGAAAGCTCAAGAATTCCTAAGGGTTCAGCTGGGAAGATCAGAGGATGGGAAAAAAGAAGAGGACAGCAAGTCTAGTGGCGAGCTGGACTTGGGTTCTTCCGGAGACGACTCTCTGACAGAGCAAGGGGCAGCTACCCCAAAAAGTCCTTATAAGCTGCGGAAGAGACGAGGAAAGGAGAAGTGAAGGCTGAAGGACTCTGAATTGTGCCTTTGAGAACTTTGAAATGGGATGATTGGGGGTACTGTTCCTAGACAGTTAAATTTAAGAGTTAAAGGAAAAGTATTATAAATGTTTGACTCAGTTTATAATAATCTAAACGAAATGAAGATTTGTTGTAACTAAACTAGTGAGGATCTCCTCTCTTGGGTTTTTAGTTAGTAGTGGGTTCCTTGCTTTATCCTATATACATAGTCCCCCTTCCCTTTTTTCTGTAGTAGTTTTTGTAGTTTTATAAAAAATAATTAAAAAATCCCCTCCAGGGGCTAAAAAAAAAAAAGGTGTGTGTCAAAAAGGCATTGTGCCATTGCCACGGTGAAGCTTCCTTGGCCTGGTGTCTGAACTGAAGTCTTCAAACTACAAGCCATACGTTAGCGCAGCTGGTAATGGTGATGCATGTCCTGCTGATCACTTGCCCTCAGAAACCCCAGGGAGGAATGTAACCCCTTCCGCTCGACCAAATTCTTCAGCGCACGTGTGCGCACACACAAACACAAAGCATCTCTCACTGTTTCTGAGCATCTCCAAAACCTGTGCCCAATATGAATGACTGACGTGAAACATTATGCCCTCCAGAAGGCTCATGGAACTGGGATCATTTTCTGCACCACACTCTGGAGGACCAAAAGTAACAGGAGGGCTCACTGCACTTAAGCCAGGGTTGTCCTATAATTTGCAAGGGAAGTGTGACCCACAGATGCTGACACTCCAGTTTTAAATGCCCCAATGCTATGTAGATCTATCTGGAAACATCCCATGGAAATCAGGACACAATCCACCCAAAATTAAGTTATTTTGAACCTCAATGGTTTCACTGGGAGAGTTAAGCCCATGTCTGAACATCTCCCCTATGACATCAGTGGGATTCAAGAATTTTTTGGTTTGGCTGAACTGCCCTTAACTGGTAGAGGACGCCTCTCTTTTTTTGGCCTACAAATACATTTCCTACAGAAAGTTTTAAAACCATTACTTACTACCCCTTCCAATGCAACATACAAAAACACACAGAGCATCTTAACATGTGCTTAGTGCTGAAGTACACGACACTGCATGGAGTCAGATCAGGTGAGTCATGCATATGAAAGAGCTATCAGAAGAAACGGGTACCTAGGAAACTGTTCTTCGAAAGTCTTCTTCCCAGCATAGGAGCTACCATGGCTGCCAAGGTTGCAGTCACCGTGTCCATCCTCCGTTGAGCTGTACGCAGTGGCAGACAAGCGCAAGCTGCGCCTCGACATCCTTGGAGAGTCGAACACAGGATCTAGCTTGTGGCTAGCCTCAAAATCCAGAGCAGTTGAGGAGTAACTGGAACTGGAACAGAAAGACCGGAAAATTTTGTGTATCAACAGATGAGCGTCGGGGAAGGACCACATTTAGCTGGTTGCCTTTTGGCTTCTGATTCAAATTCAAGGCACTGGTTTTAACCTTTAACAGCTTCACGCTCTCGGACCTGAGCACCCTTTCTCTCTGTAGGAACATCTCCCTCCCTCTCATCCCCCTTCTCCCAGTTCATTCAGAGCATCAGATTAGGCCTTGCTGAGAACCCCGTCATCTAAGGCTACCAAGGCTAGTGGAAGGAAAGGAGTAGAGTATCTGCTGTAATAGCCCCGAGGCACCGAAATGAGCTCCCAGAAAGCACAAGGCAAGCATCACTTCTGCATTAACTCAGAGGGAAGAAATGTAAAAGCTCATTGTCCACAGAAGTTTGCAGGATGAGCTGCTGCAATGAAAAGATCCATTGTAATCATTTGCGCTTCTGCGCGCTAGTGCATTAGGCTGCATGATGTGCAAGCATTTATACTTAGCAGCTGTGGGACTTTGCACTTCAAGATTTAATTGTTCTTAATCATCTTTGGGAGACATCTTGAAAGGCAGCAAATAAACGCTTCGAGCATACAAATATTCAGGCGCTTCTGGAAATGGAGTATAAAGCCCCGAGCTGCTTTTTTTTTTTTTTTTTAAGTTTGTTATTTTCTTCTTGTCAAAGTAACTGGAACTTTTCTGGAGACTAATTCATTTTTTACAGTAAGCAGAACGTATGTGTGTTGCCAAGCAGACATCGTCGTTCTCCTCACAGGCTACCTTTCTATCAGGCTAGAAGTCTATCCCCTTACATGCTAGCTTTCTGCGTGGACCCAATTTTTCCACAGAGGAACATTCAAACCTTTGAGCTTCCGCCAACAGTCTGAAAAGCTCCAGCACAGGGACAGGCCATCCATGGACCTCCGCAAGTACTAGGCCACCCCCACACCCAGAGAAGTCTGGATCACAGCATGCCTCCAGTCAGCTGGGTGAAGCCAGCGGGGCTCCTGAAGGCACGTTAGAGGCACCCTCTACTGTACTGACTTCTTAACCAGTCAAGTCAAGATTCCTTGCCTAGTGAGATACAGGCTTCAATAATGTACTTAGATATCGCCTTCTCCAAACAAGATGCCTCTTATGTACTATTGACAGTTGCCATCATTCAGCTGTTTATACCCTCCCATATGCCAGCAATAATTACAGGCACGCCATTCAAATAAAGTACCAGGCACTAAGGACAGCTGCCACCAGACCTTAATTTGTGTTCAGCTTGGCAAACTGGTCTATTTATTTAACAGCATAATTTCCCAGGGCAGCGCACACAGAGAGGTTATTCTATGGGCACTGCTGAATTAGGCCTTACGGCTCAAGCCCTCCTCACTGCCTCACAAAGAGAACTTGGTTCAAAACTAAACTTTTGTCCTGCACTTCAGAGGCGCAAGCACGTCCGTAACTATTACAAGCCTGCCCATTTTTACCACTCTATCCACCTGCATGCCTCTTACATAAGTAACGTACGGCACACCAACTGCCTGAAAGAACCAGGCCTCTTCCAGTTTACTAAAGCTTCCCTGCCTGGCTTGCCTGCGGCACAGGCGACCAGAGGACTACCTGTCTGCAAGCCGAGGCAACATCTGCCATTACTGATGGCTTCATTAAAAGCAGGAGGGAAAGTTTCCTCGAGGGCAGACGGACTGGTGACTCGGGCCCTGGGGAAGACTGTCAGAGACCCAGGCACTCCACTTATTCCCGTCTTCAGAGCTCTACAATCACAGACACCACAGCAATCACTTGGGGCATGGCGTTGGCAGTTTCTAAAACTGATCACCTCACGCTTCAACCTCGTCCCAGCCATCCCGAGAAGCTGCCAATACTTTCTAAGCATTACTCCCGTCTCTGCTACAGGATCACACTAAGGAAGCACAAGGGGAGAAGGTACCACGACACAGGTGTCACCGATCAATTAACGGGGTCCGCTAATCTATCTCTGTGCACATACACTGTAAGAAGAGTGGATTTCCCACTCCACTACAAGCACTGGGCAACAGGGATGGGATGGCTCCTACACGCAGATCTCCCGCCCTCAGGAACTGCATGCAGAGACCAACAAAACACCGGAAGAACAACTCTGTACTCACAAAAGTCACTTAGCGAGAAGTCAAAAATAAAATGCAGACTGGTAAGCAATGGTACAAAATGGCCAAGCTTTCCTCACAAAGCTGCAGAGCACGGAACGATATTAATGGTATTATGCACGTGCCCCCCACCCTAAAAAGCCCCCCCCCACAAGACCATGTATCTGGGTGTGGCTCCAGAATGCCTTATTTACAGCGACGGATGAATAATGAGTCACCGTCTTAATCATCGGCTTTCTTGGCTTAACATCTGCTGCCTTTAAACACATGCAGAAAGCAGCAACAGACATGTTCGTCTACAGAATCCCCCCCTTTGTTTCAAAACTTACCATGAAACCTACCACATAGAAATAAACAAGAGCATGCAAGTTCTCAGCAGGTAAAAAACATTCTCACCTGAGCGAATAGGTATAGCCAGTGTTCTCTGGCACATATTGGGGAGGAGCATACGTGTGAAGATGTGAAAAATCCATGTTCGCTGTCTCAAACCATACTGCAAGGTGAAAATAAAGCACTGTAACAGTTCAGTACGCACACCAGGAACAGCCCTTTGCCTGCTTCAGCCTGTACAATGGTTTACTGCAAGTTACGCTTTAGAGCGGCGGCGGTGGGAAAACCCACTAGTATCAGAAGTAGCATGTATTTCAATGTGACTGCTCGAGTTAGATACCCCTTATCAAAAGTTTCACAAACCTAAACATTTCCTCTTGCTGAGAGCTTTCGGAAAGTCTTCCAACATGCAACATCTGCTATTTACCTAGTTCCCTAGAACAATATTAAAAATGCCAAACCCTGCCAATAAATGACAAGCATATTTTACAAGTGATTTGGCATGTATTATTGTTAGATGGCGATGCGCTGGAAAACTATGGAGAATTTACTATACCTGCAAACGCCAAGCTCCAGTCATTCACCCAAGCAGAGTACTGAGCTTTTAAAAGCTTCTACATGTCAGGAGGACTGCACCAACCCTGACAAATTCAGGCACCTCAAAAGTTACGCACTTTATGTAAGGACGAGTTGTTTTTTTGCAGTTACACTTTGTGCCACTGGGAAAGACGAAGGGAGGGAATTTGGCTCAGGATGTGTTTTTAAAGCAACAGTCCCACTTCCCCGGGATTGGTTCAACCCAATCGCCTGGAAGAGAACCTTATGTACACATCCCAGAAGACAATCCAAAATGCATAATGACTCACCAGTCTAATATTAGATCTATGGTTCTGGAACTTATTGAGGATTTTGGGGGAGCCTCCAAAAATATTTGGCTTCTATCTAAAGAACCATACAGGTACTCTACTACAGGTTTGGGCTCAGGTTGTAAACCATTTTTAAAACTACAGGGACTGCGTAAAAGCACTCTGCAATACAACAGTGAGGTTCGACTATTCACAAGAGACATCTATTAAAGATGTCCAAGCTTGCGCCTGAAGAAGCACTTTGGATTCCAGCCTTGATCCAAAGGGAAAGGAATGCTAGAAGAAGATAAGGACCAAGAATATTAAAACAAAGCCAGAGACAGGAAGATGCAGTGTTGTGCCACACCAAGATATAGACAGCAGCTCAAGTACAACTGAAATACAAGGAGATATTTTGCAAAACCACTGCCACAAAACTTTGAACTATACTAGCTCTTGAGACAGATATTCTTGTATCCCAAGTCTTCAAGGTTTCTTTAAGGTCAGGAAGAATAAATTTAATCTGTTTTTAAGATGGTTGTTGAAAGGATAGGGGCTTTGCGAGGTTTGGTCCTCCTTCCCTCCTGCCCCCTTCAACCCTGGAGCCAGCATGGATCTTAACTGGCTGCTGCCACCACTCTGGTCTGGGGCTGCAAACTAGGGTGGTCCAGAGGACCTCCCTCCCCTTCCAAACAGCACCACTCTACTAGTGAGGGTGTTGCCAGGTCAAGCCTGAGGTGTGAGAAACCAGGCAAAATGAGACAAACTTTTTTATTAAACAATGTAGTAATAAATAGGGAGAAATTCATAACAGCTTTAACGGGGGATACGTTTCTAATAAACAAGGAAATGAATGCTTAAAGGGGCCGGCAAGAAAAATGATGATGTTTCCTAGCATGGCTGCCTCAATGGTCCCTAGGGTAACCAGCCCTTCCACGGCCCAAACCCCACCCTCCGTGGGCGAGGGATCCTCTCCTGCTGGTAGTGGCTGCCCTGCCATCTAGCACCTGAGAGAAGAACCCCACCCTTCCTTGGGGCAGCCTGATATTATTTCTCTCAAGGCCTCTGAACTCCTCTGTGACAATCGGCCTTCCCTTTCCCTGCGGTTTCACCAGGTTTGGAGGGTTATCTGGGAAACGTAGGCCCAGAGGGAATATCCCAGCAAGGCCCCGGCCTCAGAGAGACCAACCAGCCTCGGGCCTAGGAGAGGGAATGCAGTGCATTATTTGTAGCACAGGGATCCAGATTCACGACAGATGTCAAGCACACACCCCTTATAATCCATGGTGCACCCCTTATCCACAGTGCAACAGAGGTATGTCTTCTAGAACGATGCCAAGATTTCTACTTTCTACTTCATTTACAAGCATCAAGAAATATCTTTCACTTGTTAGAGGGTGAGGAAGATGCAGGAGTCAGCCCCCGCTTGGAAACATTTATTTATTTATTATTTTAATTTATAGCCCGCCCAGGCTCACAATGGGGCACATGCCAATACATAAAACAGGTTAAAACAGCTTAAAAACAATCATTATAATATTACAAAATTACAAAGTGCTCTAGATGTTTCAGATCAGTTTTCAATAAAAAGATGGCATCATAAAAACGTACTCCCAGATCAGTGGTGTCCACGCAGCGCTGTCGTTCACTCCTTCCAGGGCCAGTTGATGATGGTAAAAGTAATGATGGTGAGGTAGTGAGGTAGTGGCGGCTCCTACTGAAAAGCCTGGCGGAAGAGCTCCATCTTACAGGCCCTGCGGAACTGCGCAAGGTCCCGCAGGGCCCGGATCTCCTCTGGGAGCTCATTCCACAAGGAAGGAGCTGCCACTGAAAAAGCCCTGGCCCTGGTTGCAGCCAGCCTGGCCTCCTTGGGGCCTGGGATCACCAGGAGATGTTGCGTCCCCGACCGTAGTGCCCGTAGGGGAACATATGGGGAAAGGCGGTCCCTTAGGTATGTCGGACCCTGGCCATATAGGGCTTTAAAGGTAAGAACCAGTACTTTGAAGCGAATCCGGTATGCTATTGGCAGCCAGTGCAGCGCTTTCAGCACAGGCTGGATGTGGTCTCGACCAGGGAGGCCCATTAGCAGCCTGGCTGCAGCATTCTGCACTAGCTGCAGCTTCCGGATTTGCGACAGAGGCAGCCCCATGTAGAGAGCGTTGCAGTAGTCTAGCCTCGAGGTATCTGTCACATGGATCACTGTGGCCAGGTCATTGCGGTCGAGGAAGGGAACGAACCGCCGAGCCAGCCGAAGATGGTAAAAGGCCGACTTAGCCGTGGCTGCCACCTGGGCCTCCATAGGTAACGAGGAGTCCAGGAGCACTCCCAAACTCCTAACCTCCGGCGCTGGCACCGAAGGTGCCCCATCAAAGGTCGAGAGAGTGAGCCCTAACCCCAAACTGCCCTGACTCAGGCCCAGGACCTCTGTCTTCGCTGGGTTTAGCTTCAGCCGACTCAGTCGGAGCCAACGAGCCACGGCCTGCAACGCCCAGTGCAGATCTTCTGGGCTGGATTCCGAAGAATGGAAACTTTCTATATCAGTTTCCTGAATTCAGTTTTTATTTAAACATACAAAAAAAGCTTTGGCCTATTATCTACTCCCCTCTGGGCGGGGAAGGGGGGAGAGGCATGTACAAGCAATATCTGCTCATCAAGAAGTCAAAAGAGGATGGTATGTTCTAAAAAAAAAAGAGATTTATTTAATAAAAAAGTTTATAAGACTGAAGTCCTCACAAAACATTTCTGGCTACCACAGGCCATATAATCAAGAGACGACCACTCTGCTGCTCCAAGTTTGGTGGGCAAGTGCAACTATTTTGATATATTCCTATAGTTCAGTGGATCTCAAGGTAGTAGTAAAATATAATACACGCCACTAACCATATTGCTGAAGGTGACAAAAGTTGGTGGAACAGGGCAGATTCCAAACACAGTACAGTGCTCTTAAGACCCATCAGGCCTGTAGCGACAGAGGGGCATCTCGGGGCCCGGCCCCCCGACTTACCACCAAGGCCCCCCGAACTTCCCATCCAGCCCAGGCACTCCCTTGGGGAGTGTTGGGGGTATCTGTGTGGGGTGCCCCCTGAATTAAAAAATCCTGGCTATGGGCCTGAGACCCACTGATTTAAGTGACAGAACTGAGCACAAAACCACACCCACTGAAATTCACAGGAATTAAAGCATTCAGCTCAGCTGGGTTCCTGCCCAAAGTCCCCAACATGAAAAAGACAGCTTTTCAAATAGTATTTAAATAGCTGGGCACCAATCCTTAACTGGGGTCACAGAAGATATTGGGTTAGCATAATGTGCCTGGGTGACCAAGTAGTCAGGATTTTTCTGGGCATGAGAAAGCTTACCTCCAGCACACTAAAACATGACCTCTCTTCTGATCAAAAGGCAGACTCTAAGTAGTTTTCGAACCTTGCCCAGTGCTGTCTACCAGAAACACAGTATACGGGACTTCCAAAGTTCACTTGGTTTAAAAAAAAAAAAAGATTTCACACAAAATTCAAGGTGCTGGAGTTATACTTGTACAGCCCGTTGGGTCCTCAGCACTGGGATTTTGAAACCTGCTGCAATGAGTCTTCATGAGGAAAACAGAGTCAAGCTTCCTGCAAGATGACCAAGACCCAACTAGAAGACAACTGTTCACCAGGCAGCGTTCACCCTATCCTGTGTAGGTCAGCAGACCAAAAGGAAAATAGTGGGAAATAAGGCTAACAGGAAGTCCTTTCCTGACTTTTAAATCCAAGTAATAGTGGACTGATACAGGAGACAGCGTTACCAATTTTACTATATAGAGTGAGGTAAGCACCCTTGCTGTGCACTAGAAGGGATGGGGAAGAAACCCCCCCCCCCGACTGGATTTTCTCAAACTAAATCAAGATGGGTAGTCGTGTTAGTCTGTCCATAGTAGTAGAAAAGAGCAAGAGTGCCGTAGCTCCTTAAAGACTAACAAAATTTGTGGCAGGGTAGGAGCTTTCGTGAGTCACTGCTCTAGGGTTGTCAGCCCCCAGGCGGGAGCAGGGAATCCCTCCATTTTGTGGAATCCCCACCCCCAACAGCCACAATCCGGCGTGACATCCCTGACATGATGACATCACATGGAAGTGATGCCATCATGTCAGGGACATTATGCGGCAATGCTCTGGTATTTTGGGCAATCTCCGTGGTTCGCCCAAAATACCACAGCATAGCTGTGCGATGTCCCAGGCACGATGATACCCCTTCGGTGTGACCTTCATCACGTCGGGGACGTCACATGTGGTGACACTGCACCACCCCCCACTCCCAGAGAGCTCCCTCCCACTCCCTGTTGGCAGGAGGTAAGATCTGGCAACCCTACACTGCTCACGTTTTGAAGTGAACACGAAGTGAGCAGTGACTCAGAAAAGCTCCTACCCTGCTACAAATTTAGTCTTTAAGGTGCTACTGGTCTCTTGCTCTTGTCTACTGTTCAAACAAAATGTAACCCAATGCTTATTTTTAATATAAGACAAAACAGCTCAGATTATGTCAGATTGTAAAACTCATGTTTGGAGTTGTTTTGATCAATCTGCCCTGTACCAATAGGTCTGAAAAATTAATTACAGAACACACATACCTGTATTATGCTATTTTAGGCTCAAAAGGTATATTACAAAGTGTTTACATTTCAGAAAGTGAGCATCTCACAGGAGAAAGGGTGCAACCCCCGGTACAAAGGAAAGCAGGAAGCCCAAACGTAGGGGACAGTTAACATTCACACAACCAGCCTTCTCATGGGGTGCTAATCTGGAAATACAGCTTCCCAGATGTGACAAGGGTGAACAAAATGTGGTTCTGCCAGCTAGGGGCAGTCAGGGTATGTAAAGAGCGTGTGAATCTCCATAGAGTACAAAGCCCCGGTCTCAGAGCAACTGACTTATGCAATTACCAGTAGAAAAACAGAGAGGATGTTGATATTCAAGGAACACCCAAAACACCTGAGCTCATGGGCATACAGAATGGGCGGGGCAGAGAGCTCACTTCAAAGCATCTACAGCTATGGACGGAAGGCACTATTCACACAAAAGGTAGCAGCTCAAGTAAACCAACAAG